TCCCTTCCCACTTAAAATATAGCTGAGGCACTACCTTCCTTTTCCCTAGTCTCAGAGGATGTGGAATTTCTCCTCTGCTCTGGGGCCCATCCCTTCACCCATGACCCCATTCACACACCTTACACCTCCTTGATCTCAGTGACCTGTTGGCCCTGTACCTTTAACCTTCCCCTCTCAGTTGGCTTCTTCACAACAGCAATATTTCTTGATTCAATCTACAAATATTTATTGAGCACCTATATTGAACCAGGCCTTATTCTAGGCATTGAGAACACAGCAGTGAACAAGTGCTAACTTCTTAGTGCTTCTATTCTAGACAGTGAGAAAGATGGCAGTAAGGATGAAAAAAAATCAGGCAATCAAGGCTATCTAGTACCGTCATAAAGACAGACTTATTGATCAATGGAATAGATTGAGAATTAAAAAATAAGCACATGCTTTATGGTCAACTGATTTTTCAGCAAAGGTACCAAGATAATTCAAGGGACAGATAGTCTTTTCAATAATAGTGCTTGGACAACTGGACACCCACATACAAAATAATGAAATTGAATTCCTATCTTAAGTATAAATTAACTCAAAATGGGTCACAGTCCTAAATTAAGGGCCAAAACTATGAAACTCTTAGGAGAAAACATAGGGGTAACTTTCCATAGGATTAGGCAATGGTTTATTTGATATTACATAAAGAATAGCAACAAAAGCAAAAATAGACAAATTGGACTTCATCAAAATTAAAAACTATTGTATTTCTAAGGATACTCTCCATAAAGTGAAAAAACAATCCACAGAAAGTATTTGGGGGAAAGTATTTGTCAGTCTTATATCTGAAAAAGGAGTTGTATTCAGAATTCATGAAGAAACTTTTAACTCAACAAGAAAAAAAGACAAATTTCCCAATTTTAAAAATGTGCAAATAATCCTAATAGACATTTTCCCCAAAGAAGATATATAAATGGCCAATAAACACAAGAAAAGGTGCTCAACATCATTAGACATTAGGGAAATGCAAATTAAAAGCATAATGAGATACCATTTTATATTCACCAGGCTGGCTATACTCAAAAAGATATATAATAACAAATGTTGTTAAGATATGATGAAATTGGAATCCTCATACATCGCTGGTGGAAATGTAAAATGGTGCAGCCACTTTAGTAACAGTTTCAAAAAGTTCCTCAAAAAGTTAAACATGGAGTTACCATCCAACTCAGCAATTCTACTCCTAGGAATTTCCAAGAGAAGTGAAAACATATATCCACACAAGAAATTGTACACAAATGTTAAAAGCAACATTGTTCGTAATAGTCTGAAAGTGGAAGCAACCCATATATCCATCAACTAATAAACAAATGATCTAGCTATACAGTGGAATATTATTCAGGCATAAAAAGGAAGGCAGTATTGACGCATGCTACAACATGGATGAATGTGGAAAACATTATGCTCACTGAAAGATGTCAGACATAAAAGACAACATATTGTATGATTCCATTTATATGAAATATCCAGAATAGGCAAATCCATAAAGATAGGGAGATCAGTGGTTGCCAGGCCCGGAGGGGAAGGCCAGGGGTAGGGAGTGGCTGCTAATGGGCACAGAGTTTCACTTCAGGGTGATTAAAATGCTCTGAAATTAGATAGTGGTGATGGTTGTACAACTTTGTGAGTGTATTAAAAGACCACTGAATTGTATGCTTTAAAAGGGTAAATTTTATGGTATTTGAATTGTATCTCAATAAAAAGAAATAGAGAAATAAATAGGGGGAAAATAAGATAATTTCAGAGAATGATAATTTCTATAAGTCACTTCAACAGAAAGATGTGATAGAGTGACTTGGGATGGATGGGGTCTTCTCAAGATGAGGGAAGAGTCAGGTGGGCCTGTATGAAAAGGGACTCTTCAGAGTCATGGGATAGCTAGGAGGGGAGTCTTTCAGGCAGAAGGAACAGCAAACACAGGCCCTGAGGTGGTGGACTGCTTTACACAAGACCAAGTTTCGCCTGCCTTCAGAAAAAGCCTTCCCTTCATAGTTCCTCTCTGACAACTGCTGCCTCCTGTTCTACACAGCCATACATTTTTTTTTGGTATCAATCTACAATTACTTGAGGAACATTATGTTTACTAGGCTCCCACCTTCACCAAGACCCCCCCCCACAACCCCCATTACAGTCACTGTCCATCAGCGTAGTAAGAGGCTGTAGAATCACTACTTGTCTTCTCTGTGTTGCACAGCCCTCCCCGTGCCTCCCCCCACATTATGCATGCTAATCGTAATGCCCCCTTTCTTCCCACACCCCCTTATCCCTCCCTTCCCACCCATCCTCCCCAGTACCTTTCCCTTTGGTAA